ATTCTCAAACTTAATCCGTTCCAGAAGTCCGTTCCAAAACCAGGGCACGCTTTCCCATAGAAAGTAATGCAAAATGGATTAATCCGTTCCAGACTTTTAAAAACAACCCCTAAAACAGCAATTTAACATGGATTTTACTACCTAACGAGACCATTGATCCGTAAAATGAAAGCAATAATCAATGTACTATACTATAAAATAAATGAGATAGTATTGTAGATGATAATAATAATAATAATATTTTTTTCTTACCTGCACTGATGATGTTTGGATGGGGGGCTTTTATTCATTTCCGCAGTCGTACAATCAATCAATCAATCAATCAATCAACCAATCAGTAGCTGAACTGGGTTCCATACAGTCACAGAAACAAATTAACCGAGAAAGTCTCGAAAACAAAAATGCAAAATAAATAGCAAAAACAAAAGTGCCAAACTTAATCTGTTCCGGAAATCCGTTTGATATCCAAAATGTTCGAAAACCCAGGCACAGCTTCTGATTGGTGCAGGCACCCCGGAAACAATAGCTGACAGCTGCGTCGGACGTTCGGCTTCCGAAAAACGTTTAAAAACCAGAACACTCACTTCTTGGTTTTTGGCATTTGAGAACCAAGGCGTTTGAGTACCAAGCAAGACAAACCTGTTTGGTTTGGACTCACTCTGACCCTTATGTTTCCCTCCCCTTATGGTTTTGACTTTTAAAATGAGGCTGCATTTTAAATTGCATTTTAATCTGTATTTTAAATTGTTTTTTCCTATTTCTTTTTTTCTTCTTATTATGTTTTTACTGAAATTTTATTGATGTTAGCTGCCCTGAGCCCAGCTCTGGCCTGGGAGAGCAGGGTATAAAGAATTTATTATTATTATTATTATTATTATTATTATTATTATTATCTCCCCCCCCCACAGGTATCTCTGCTGTGACACGCAGATGGAGTTGCGGGGCTGGTTTGCCACCTTCCTCTCTGTGCAGGTAAGTGGAGGGGTCTCGGCCTGACCTACCTCGCAGGGTTGTCGGAGGGGGTTGGGCTAGATGGCCTCTGGGGTCCTTCCCAACTCTACAATGCTAGGATTCTATGAGGGTGGAGCAGGAGGGGGAGAACTGACCTGTGACTAGCCGCCGGGCCTGATCCACCTTGTCCCTTCTTGTGCTCCTTGTGACCTCTTCCTCCCTCTCTGGCCTTGCCAGCACGGCGGGAACATCTGGCCGCCAGAGTCCTCCAAGGTTCGGGCGTCCAGGATGCAGCGGGATTCCCGGCTGGGGAACATCTCCCTGATCCCTCTGCGAGGCAACGAGAGCGAGATGAGGAACAGCGTCGCGGCCTTCGCAGCCGACCCGCTGGCGGTGAGGGAAACTGCCAATAGGCACAGGTTGCCCGCATTCTGCTGGGCACTGGGCACCTGGAGGGAGGGCAGCAGGCGAGGGGAGGCTGCTCAGCTCTGCGTCCTTGTTGGCAATACCCCAGCAGAGACGTCCGCGCTCTGCTTTTTTGCTCTAAGAAGCCAGCGTCAATTCTGTGTCCAGGGCAGCTGTTTACCGGCTCCATCTGGTGCACAGGTTGAGACCCTCCCTGCCCACAGACTGTCTCGCCAGAGTGGTGCATGCTCTGGTTATCTCCCGCTTGGACTACTGCAATGCGCTCTACGTGGGGCTACCTTTGAAGGTGACCCGGAAACTGCAACTAATCCAGGATGCGGCAGCTAGACTGGTGACTGGGAATGGCTGCTGAGACCACATAACACCGGTCTTGAAAGACCTACACTGGCTCCCAGTACGTTTCCGAGGACAATTCAAAGTGTTGGTGCTGACCTTTAAAGCCCTAAATGGCCTTGGTCCAGTATATCTGAAGGAGCGTCTCCACCCCCATCGTTCTGCCCGGACACTGAGGTCCAGCTCCGAGGGCCTTCTGGCGGTTCCCTCACTGCGAGAGGCCAAGTTACAGGGAACCAGGCAGAGGGCCTTGGTGGAACACCCTCCCACCAGATGTCAATTTTTCAAAGAGAAAACCAACTACCTGACAGTTAGAAGACATCTGAAGGCAGCCCTGTTTAGGGAAGCTTTTAATGTTTAATAGACTATTGTATTTTAGTGTTTAGTTGGAAGCCGCCCAGAGTGGCTGGGGAAACCCAGCCAGATGGGCGGGGTATAAATAATAAATTATTATTATTATTACTGTCCCTGATCACCACACACATAGCTGGGTCTGGCTTATTTCTTTGGTAGAGCAAGCCTACAGGCTTGAGAGGCAGTGTGTTGTAGTGGTCAGAGTGTCAGACTAGGACCTGGGAGAGACCGGGGTTCGAATCTCACACTTGGCCACTCACTCTCAGCCAACCTCGCAGGGTAGTTGTTGTGAAGATAATAGGAGGAGGAGGACTACTTAGGCCACCTTGAGCTCCGTGGAGGAAAGGTGGGGTGGAAATGCAATGAATCAAGGTTTCCCCATCTTGGGTCTCCAGCTGTTTTTGGACTACAGTTCCCATCATCCCTGGCCACTGGTTCCACTAGCTAGGGATGATGGGAGTTGTAGTCCAAAAACAGCAGGGAGACCCAAGCTGGGGAAACCCTGCAAGAAACAGCAGCCGTCCTTATGAGGCCTGTCAGGCCCCGCCCTGGGCCAGATGGCGAGACAGGAGGACAGGAAGGTGACTTCTCCCTTTCTAAGCTTGTCTCCTTTCCTCTCCAGCTCCTTCGGGATGTATGAAACCGGACACCGAGTGTGGCAGGTAACTATTGTCTCCCTGGGCCACGGATGCCAACTTGCCCCCACATGCAGTCCGCATGGCTGCTGAGAAGAGACCTGGTTTTGGAAGGACCACTGAGGTCTCTCTTAGTCCTCTTGACCAAAAAAGGTTTCTAAAAGCTACAACATCCTGCCTCAGGAGCAGTTTCACAACAAAGGCGATTGACTAATGCTCTTCTAGGGGCATCAACTGAAGTCCACTGTCCAGATCAACGTAGAAAAAATCTGGTATATGCACAAATGGCAACCAGGGGACGGGGTATTGTTAAGAAGACATTGCCTGAACAGACCTAGCCTAGGATCCTCTTTCCCCCAGTGGCTAACCAGAGAGAGAGAGGGGAAAAAAAACTTTATTCGCATTAGCCAATGGCCATAGCAACAGTAAAGCATTACAGTATACGCAGAAAAGGAAATTTGACATAAAAGCACCATTTAAAGTCCTGAATCGGCAGTCAGTTAGTAGCTCTTATTCTGATTGCCCCTGCTATGAACCTAGCAAGCTTTGCTGTTATCTGATAGAGGAAAGGGCAATGTGGCAGCGGTTGAGCGCCCTGGGATGCTTAGTACAAGTGGGGTGATGATCTCATTCCTCAGGTCTTTTTAGTTTTGTACAGGACAGGTGTGTAGAGAGTACAGGACAGGAGGATGTGTTCCTGGGTGTAATTTATCATCTCTCTTTCCTCCTGCAGGATGGTTGGCCAAAGTCCAAGGAGGCGAAGGAGCCGTCCAGAAACGGAAGAGCCCTTGGCTGGTCCAGCGGGGAAGGGGGGGGGATGTTCAGGATCAAAGCCTGCCCTTTAGGGACTCCCCATCTCCCTGCAAGGCCGAGCCGAGGACTCCCAAAAGGAAGGAGGGAGCTTTCTTCAAGGACAGCCCTGGAGACAGTCCTCAGGAGGCTGGGACATTGATAAGCCGACTGGAGAAGGAGCCCCGGGAACGCAAGACAAACCCCAGGAGGACATTGCATCTCTGATCAACATGTGCCAAATCCACTACCGAACCGGCATCGCTCCTGCCCCCTGCCCTGTCCTGGTGGCTTTAGCCACAGGTCTCCCTCGCCCGCGGCATCTTTCTTCTTTTGGATTGCGCAGGAACCGTGAGACGCCTCCCCTGGCCACGGCGTGGATTTTGAGCCCTTTCTGGGGGTGCTCCAGGGCTTTGCCAACCCAATTTTGTTCTCATTGAGAAACAGTGGGGCAGAAAGGACTGCGACCATTTTGGATCCGGCCGGGGGCTTCCTGGCAGTATCACACAGGGAAATCCTGCCGGATCAGGCCAGTGACTTGTCTAGTCCCGCATCCTGTTCTTGCAGGGACCAAGCAGGTGCCTCTTGCGGGGGGAAACCGCAAGCAGGATTCGAACACAGAGCGCACTTGCTTTGCAGGGACTGGTATTCAGAAGCATCTCTGCTTCCTGCGCTCACTTCAGAGAGTTGGCAGGAGAGAGATGCTGTTGTCAGCCTCCCTCTGCCCTCTCTCCGCGTGGCTTTTTGCCAACCCCTTTGCCTTCACCTGGTGGGTTGCGGGTGCTGAGAACTTTTGCCTGTCTCCCTCGGCAAGACCGGGTGCTCCTGTTTGGTACCCGGGTGGACGGAGGAGGGACAAAGGAGCATCGCCAGAGCCGCCAAGCAGCAGCGCTGGGTGCAGAGAGATGTCAGGGCTGGGTCCTTCTCGACCGCCTCTGTTTGGACAGGGAGGAGGCCAGCGAGGCTTAAGGCCCGGGAAAAACCCCCTGCCTTCTTCGTCTGATGCTGGGAAGCTGTGGGAAAAGCGGGCAGGCAGAATCTTTCCTTAAGAGCAACACCTCTTCTTGTCGTCTTTTTTTGTAATGTTAATAAATATCCTTGGAGAATCCCGTGTCATGGTGTCTCTGGCATTTTATCTGGGGTGGATGAACACCCGAGATGGAGGTTTTTTATAGAATTGTAGGGCTGGAAGGGACCAGAGGGTCATTTAGTCGCATCCACTGCTATGCAGGGATCACAGTTTTCTAAAGGGCCGTCGCCAAGATACTGACTGAGGATTCTGAAGGGGAGGAGGGAGACAGATTTCTTACCTCTTCTATTTTTGATAATAATAATAATAATAATAATAATAATAATAATAATAATAATAATTTATACCCTGCCCATCTGGCTGGGTTTCCCCAGCCACTCTGGGCGGCTTCCAACAGAATATTAAAATACAATAGTCTATTAAACATTAAAAGCTTCCCTAAACAGGGCTGCCTTCAGATGTCTTCTAAAAGTCTGGTAGTTGTTGTTCTCTTTGACATCTGGTGGGAGGGCGTTCCACAGGGCGAGTGCCACCACCGAGAAGGCCCGTTGTTATGTGGTCTCGGCGGCTGCTCCCAGTCACCAGTCTAGCTGCCGCATTCAGGTTTAGTTGTAATTTTCGGGTCACCTTCAAAGGTAGCCCCACGTAGAGCACATTTCAGTAGTCCAAGTGAGAGATAACCAGCATGCACCACTCTGGCCAGACAGTCCATGGACGGGTAGGGTCTTATCCTGCGCACCAGACGGAGCTGATAAACAGCTGCCCTGGACACAGAATTAACCTGCGCCTCCATGGACGGCTGTGAGTCAAAATGACTCCCAGGCTGCGCACCTGGTCCTTTTGGGGCACAGTTACCCCATTCAGGACCAGGGAGTCCTCCACACCTGCCCGCCTCCTGTCCCCCCAGAACGGTACTTCTGTCTTGTCAGGATTCAGCCTCAATCTGTTGAATGCGTTTATACCCCACCTTTTTCTGCAAGAGGTTGCTTTCATGACTCTGAACCTCCTTCCAACATTGCACTTCTGTGATTCCCTGCCTTTGTTGCTTTGCGGGAGCAAATTCATGGTTTAACCGGTGACCTGTGGCTGAGCAGTGATTTGGGCAGAGCGACCTGTATGCGTCCCTTTCTGTGCTCCCACACGCCGTGGGATCATGTTTGCTCCTGCAGAGGCAGTTTCTGGGCCGCCCAAGAGCTGAGATCCTCTCCCAACGTGTTTTCATCCTGGCTTTTTCCTCTTGCACTGAACATTGCAGGTATTCTTTTCTTTTTATTATTGTTAGGATTCAAATGCATCCATTAACGCCAGAGCAGCGGCTGCTTCTGCAGCTAATGGAGAAGAGTCTCTTCCACTGTGTCAGTTCCCAAGGCTCCATTAGTCTCCCTGGGCTATTATGCATCCATTTGCGGGGGGGGGGGGGGGCGGGGGAGGAGGAGATGATGGTGCGGGGATCCCATGTCCCTTTTAAGGGAACAGAAGAGAGAGCAGTATTGCAAAGCTGGTAAGAGGGAGGTTTCTCTTTGGAAAGAACTTTGTTATTATTTAATGCATTTCTATCCTAGCTTTTCTTCCAAGGAGCTCACAGCAACCCTGTGTGGTAGGATAGGCTGAGAAGCACTGACTGGCCCCCAGGGTCACAGCCAGTGAGCTTCATGCCCAAGTGGAGATCTGCACCCGGGTCTCTCCCAGGTCTCTAACCATTGCACTGCACTGCCTGTCATGAAATAACACAGAACAGGGACTTGGCCTTTGCTATTTGTTCTGGATTCTGGGGCCCAGCCCAGGATGCAAGAACCAGAATCTGGAGAGTGTCTCTGAACATGTGCAAAGGGCATTTCCCTCCCGCCAGTTAAATAACTGCTGGCAGTGGCTCTTTGCAGGAGAGGTTTGCCTGTTTTTTGTTTTTTAAGCATCAGAATACTCATGGGGAAAACCAGAACTATTGCTTATCCCCACCTAAATGGGAAGGCAGGGGGCATTGTCCAGCGCAAATCAAAATAATGCAATGAAATCAGACCCTGTCCTGTGTTGCAATTAGTCTATGTTTCATTTTCATTTCATTAAAAAAATACTTTACAGTTCAGTGTTGTTTTTATTTTGAATTCTGTGGGGCCTTAATCTGGCTTTGAGGGCAGCAGTGCCTCTCAATAGCAGCTTCCGGAAGCTGCAAGAGGAGTGAATAATAGAATCATGGAATTGTAGAGTTGGAAGGGACCCTGAGGGTCATCTAGTCCAACCCCCTGCAGTGCAGGAATCTTTTGCCCAACGTGGGACTCGAATCCACAACCTTGAGATTAAGAGTCTCCTGCTCTTACCAGCTGAGATATTAATGGTGCTATTGAACTCAAGTCCAGTTTTTTATTTTTATTATTGCATTTCTACCTGCCCCCCCCCCCCGCCCTGCAGGAGTTCAAGGTGCCACACACGGTTCTCCCTCTTGCCATTTGATCCCTGCAACAGCCCTGCGAGGTAGGCTGGCATGAGAGACTGGTTTCATATTGCTTTTATTTTGAATTACACATATCATCTTTTCAGTACTTGGGGCCTTTCAAGGACTTAATCCAGCCCAGGAGGGTGGCAGTGCTGAATCCGAGGATCACGTCCCTTGACGTGCTTTGGCTGTGATTTCTGCGTTGCAGGGGGGTCAGACTAGATGACTCTTGGGTAGGGTTACCAGACGTCCCCAGTTCCCGGGGACAGTCCCTGGGTTTGCAAATCTGTCCCCGGGAAATGTGGCAGCGGCAGCCTCAGCAGCCTGGTAGCGCACTTGGCTCTGGCTGCCGCCGCCACTGCCAAAGGGGAACTGGGGACATCCGGAGGTTTAGATCTCTTGCCCCCTTCCCCCTTTGTTTTGACTGATCTGGGGAAGCTCAGGAGTTTTGGGTGGAAGACCCAGGAGGGGCAGTGGGTGCACAGTTTCTCTGCCAGGCAAGGTGCAAAGCCCATCTTTTGCACCCTATGAAACATAAATGCACAGAGGTTTTTTTAAAAACTGGGCAATGGCTGGACAGCCGCAACTCCTGAGCCTCCCCCGAATCTGTCAAAACAATGGGAGAAGAGGGCAGGAGACCAGGGAAGGCTTGGGAGTCACGGGTCAGCAGCACGCTGTTGCCCAGTTTTTTTAAAAACTGCGCATTTATGTTTTACAGGGTGCAAAAGGGCTTTGCACCTTTATACAAGATGCATGTACTTGGGCCCAGGGTCTTTTGCCTCACCATCCCTGCTACTGACGCCCTGTTGCTACTCAGCTTCAAAAAAACACCCCGGATTCATTGGAAAAAACCTGGTAACCGTACTCTTGGGGGCCCCTTCCAACTCCATCATTCTATGACCTGCCTGGATCTCTCGCTGCCTTTTCATTTCGGAAAAGAAAGCCTGGAGCCATGCTGACATTTACTGGGTTCAAGTGGGCAGGGAGAGAGGAGGCGGTGGAGGAAGAAGGAGGAGAGCGTTCGCATCACAATGGCCATCCTCGCAGGGGGAGCGTTTGCGCCCGCGAGACGGAAGGAGCAGGTGCAGAGAGGTTGCAGGCAATGAATGGACAAGAGGCGGAAGCGAGCCGGCTCCGTCTTGGGCTGGGAGTGCTGATCATTGTTCGAGATAATCGACGTGGGATGCCTTGGCAACCTTGAGATGGAGACGCGTGCGGGTACAAAAGAGCGAGAGGAATCCGCGCTCTGCTTCGAAGGCTCTTGAGGCGTCTCTGCGTAAGCGAGACCCGCTTTCGAAGGCCGGGGAACGAGTGCCAGGCAGGCTGTCCGTCGAGTGGGCGACAAATTAGTTTCCCTGCGACTTGTTCTGACTTTGTGCGTTTTCCTCCTTGAAGCAGAGCACGGGGGAGGCCGCGCAGAGAAGGGATGGCGCTCAATGCGACTGCAAACTCTGAGCTTGCGAGGGGGAAAGGGCCAGGGCAAGGAGGGCTAGCAGTGGATCCAGGGCCGGATTTACGGTAGGTTTGATGAGGCCCTAAGCTCCTGAAGGTAATGTGGGGACACAGCATGGCCATAGGATCCATTCAGTGCCAGATTACTAAGCAAAACAATTTAAAGGGGGGAAAAAACCTGGATGTAAATTTCTAAAATATAAGATAAAAAACAAATAAAATAAAACCTACACACAGCAATAGTGTTTTGTGTTGTGTAGGCTCCTATGGTGTAAGTCATGGGTAGGCAAACTAAGGCCTGGGGGCTGGATATGGCCCAATCGCCTTCTCAATCCGGCCCACAGGCGGTCCGGGAATCAGCGTGTTTTTACATGAGTAGAATGTGTCCTTTTATTTAATATGCATCTCTGGGTTATTTGTGAGGCATATGAATTCGTTCATCCCCCCAAAAAAAATATAGTCCAGCCCCCCACAAGTTCTGAGGGACAGTGGACCGGCTCCCTGCTGAAAAAGTTTGCTGACGTCTTATGTAAGTCATGGGCCCTGCCTGCTAGCCTGCTCCCTAAATTATCACTGGTTTGCTCATTTCTATATATAGGGTGCCTACATTTTAAGTTAGAGCTTAATAATTATTTCACTATTAATATACTTCTTAATTGTATTTCAGTTCAACAATTACTTTGATAAAATACATATTGTGTTATGTGCAAATGGCTTTCGATACCTGTCAGGTCCATAAATTACCATATAGCATATATTCCACAATAAAAAAACAGCGACCATTTGTTGTTGACAAAGGACAGCGGGACATACAGTGGACGCTCGGGTTCCGAACGTGATTCGTGTGGGATGCACGTTCACAACCCGCAGCTGCACGGCTGTGCACGCGTGGGTTGCGATTCAGTACTTCTGCACATGCGCAAAGCGTGATTTAGCGCTTCTGCACATGCGCAACCGCCGAAACCCAGAAGTAACCCATTCTGGTACTTCCGGGTTTCTGCGGTCCATAACCCGAAAAAACGCAACCTGAAGCATCTGTACCCCGAGGTATGACTGCATAATTGAAACAAAGTAAAAAAAGTAAAAGGTAAAGGACCCCTGGATGGTTAAGTCCAGTCAAAGGCGACTCTGGGGTTGCGGCGCTCATCTCACTTTCAGGCTGAGGAAGCCGGTGTTTGTCCACACACAGGTTTCTGGGTCATGTGGCCAGCAGGACTAAACTGCTTCTGGCGCAACGGGACACCATGACGGAAGCCAGAGCGCACGGAAACACCGTTTACCTTCCTACCGCAGTGGTACCTATTTATCTGCTTGCACTGGTGTGCTTTCAAACTGCTAGGTTGGCAGGAGCTGGGACAGAGCAACAGGAGCTCACCCCGTCGCGGGGATTCGAACCGCCGACCTTCCGATTAGCAAGCCCTAGGCTCTGTGGTTTAACCCAAAACTATACTGAACTGTAAAATATTTTTTAATGAAATGAAATGAAACATAGACTGATTGCAACACAGGACAGGTCAGTGGTTTAGACCACAGAGCCACCTGCGCCTCGGAAACGGAAAATAGTAATACCCCCAGTGGGCAGCAGAAAGGGATGGTTTTGGAGTAGCTTAAGAACTTCCTGAGACATTATATCCGACCTCAGTCACTGAGACCATGCAGAAGAGCACTGTTAATTGTCCCCATGTTTGCAAAAGCCCAGCAGGACTCATCCAGAGATCAGGTGTTCAGTGTTGCTGGTCCCAGACTGTGGAATACTCTTCCAGCAGAGATGCGACAGGCACCCTCGCTTTTGACTTCCAGACGTCCAGATGATCTCTTTTTAAATTATGTGTTTCTTTTTTTTAGAACACTGATTTGCGTTTTAACATCGCAAATTGCCCTGATGTGGCAGGAAAGAAATCCTCGCATGAATCATGGAGCGACTTTTCCTGCAATTTTTCTTGGGTTATTGCTGCAAATGTTCCTTCCGATGCAAACTGGGGGCACTGCTGGAATAGAGACACACAATGGTTTTGCAGCCCACAGGGCTTTGCTTGCAGGATCAACGTGACGTCAGGGAAGAAATCTTCAATGCGCCACAACTAAGGATCCTGCGCGGAGATTCATTTTCCTGCTAGGACTTCCTTTCTGAGCACGGGATTTGGCTTACTTGCATGAGTCACCAGAATCTTGCTTTGCGAGGTGGCGGCTCACAGCCCACGCTGCGCAATGTCACATCACGAGGACATTTTATTTATTGTTTCCCAACATTTATGCACTGCTTGTTTGCAAAACCAAACCAAGCCCCAAAGTGGTTTGCAAGAAAGATAATACAGTAAAATTGCCCATAAGAAAGATTACCAGCGATAACTCAAGACTTTCGAAAAACTAAAATGACAACAGAACTAAAAGCAGATTAAAACTCACATCAACCTCCTGAACATCTGGGTAGGCTTGTCTACACAAAAACCCTGTTTTTAGCAGGTGTGTGAGTGGGGGGAAAGAACGGCAAAGGCACCTGCCTGATGTCAATTGGCAGGGAGTTCCAAAGTTCTGAGTTATTACAAAGGTGGAAGGGGTCTTATGTGCATCTGTGAGAGTGCCAGTTCTGTGTATCAAAGTGGTCGAGTTTGTGTATACAGTGGTACATCAGGTTAAGCTTAATTCGTTCCGGAGGTCCGTTCTTAACCTGAAACTGTTCTTAACCTGAAGCACCACTTTAGCTAATGGGGCCTGCTGCTGCCGCCATGCCGCCAGAGCACGATTTCTGTTCTTATCCTGAAGCAAAGTTCTTAACCTGAAGCACTATTTCTGGGTTAGCGGAGTCTGTAACCTGAAGCGTCTGTAACCTGAAGCTTATGTAACCCGAGCTACTACTATGGAATAAGGAGATCTCACAGGTAAACTGTTCCCAGGTTGTTTTAAGAAGTGCTAGTGATTTGTGAATGAGACAGAATGGCAGGACTGGGTAGAGCCAGATTCTGAGCTATTAACTCTGCTATAAGCTGTAAATGGTAAGGTAAAGGTAAAGGGACCCCTGACCATTAGGTCCAGCTGTGGCCGACTCTGGGGTTGCGGCGCTCATCTCGCTTTATTGGCCGAGGGAGCCGGTGTACAGCTTCCCGGTCATGTGACCAGCATGACTAAGCCGCTACTGGCGAACCAGAGCAGCGCACGGAAACGCCGTTTACCTTCCCACCGGAGTGGTACCTATTTATCTACTTGCACTTTTTGGTGTCCTTTCGAACTGCTAGGTGGGCAGGAGCAGGGACCGAGCAACGGGAGCTCACCCCGTCACGGGGATTCGAACGGCCAGCCTTCTGATCAGCAAGTCCTAGGCTCTGTGGTTTAACCCACAGTGCCACCCGCGTCCCTGTAAACGGTATGTATGTATATGTGTGTGTGTGTGTGTGTGTGTGTGTGTGTGTGTGTGTATATATATATATATATATATATATATATATATATATATATGAACTAACCAATGTTATTCTTTTTAATGGTGGTGCTACATCTGGCGCGCAAGCGCATTATTTATTTCAGGCCCTGCTCTTCTTATTCATGGATCTGCTTCCTATCACAAATTGCACGGGGAATATTGCTTTGCAAAAAGGAAGGAGGCAATCAATTAGACGCTCCCCTGCTTTCCGACAAATGCAAAAAGAAAGGGGGAATAGAAACCCGGCGAGGATTAAGTTGAAGAGCACAACCAAGGGAAGAAAATTGAAATAAGGACAAAGAGGAAAATTATTCTGGGTTCCTGGGGAAATGAAGCCTGCTGTTATTTCGGCGATGCATATTTTGCATAGAGAGCAGCGCTCCTTCCTTGCTTCCGCACAGAGATGTTTGTGAACTGGCCCTTTCCAAAGGGACCTTGAAGTAACCAGGCAGAGGGCCTTCTCGGTAGTGGCGCCCGCCCTGTGTAACTCCCTCCCACCAGATGTCAAGGAAATAAACAACTGTCTGACTTTTAGAAGACATCTGAAGACAGCCCTGTTTAGGGAAGTTTTTAATGTTTGACGTTTTATTGTGTTTAATATTCTGTTGGGAGCCACCCAGAGTGCCTGGGGAAACCCAGCCAGATGGGCGGGGTATAAATAATAAATTACTACTACTACTACTACTACCCCCCACCCAAAGGGCAGGAAGCTGGCAAAACTCCCAGTTCATCTTGGACATAAGTGCCAGTCCCAACCTGAAACTTAGGATGGGATGACCTGTATTTTTTCCTCCCCAGGAGTTCAAGTTATTTTATTTTTGTGATATACAGAGTCTAAAAACCTCCCAAGAACCTTTTATGCGTCCTCCTCAGCAGCTGGCGCATCACCCCCCCCCTTGGTGTTTTGGGTGTAGATGACCTGGGCTCTGTGATTGGACACCAGTTTGAATAGGCCTTTGCTGAGAAGCCAAGGAGCCTCGAATCTTCAGCCTTTCAAAGACCACAGCAGGTGTGATGAGTTTGTCGTTTGGCACCTCCTTGCACAGCTTGTCGTAAGTAGCTTTGTCAAACAGAACAAGGTTGTTCAGCTTGTCTCTTACTTTCCCTGTGGACCACTTCTTCTTCTTGGCTTTTCCACTGGACTTGTTGATGGGGTCCTTGTCCTTCTTGGCCAACTTGCCCGCGTCCTCCTTCTTCTTATCGTCCTTTGGTGGCATGGGGCAGTCGCTGCTTCACCCTCAGCGATTTCTGGCCAGAAAGGCATAGGATGACCTGTATGACAGGGAAGAGAGATTTCACAGAATCACAGAATTGTGGAGTTGGAAGGGAACCCAATGGCCATCTAGACCAACCCTCTGAAATCCAGGACTCACAGCTAAAGCATCCCTGATAGAGGGCCCACGAAGGAGAGTACACCACCTTTCCAGGGGAGATATCATAGCCATCTTCCAGTATCTCAAGGGCTGTCCCATGGGAGAGGGAACCAGCTTGTTTTCTCCTGCTCTGGAGGGTAGGACCCGAACCCATGGCTTCAAGTAGCACTCTCATCTGCCTTGGTCAGACCACACCTGTGACCAGCTCTGGGCATCACAATCTGAGAAGGATGTTGACAAGCGGGAACATGGGCAGAGGAGATGATCAAGGGTCTGGAACCAAGCCTTATGAGGAACGGTTGAGGGAGCTGAATATGTTTAGCCTAGGAAAAAGACAGAGAAGAGATTGATAGCAATATTCCAATATCTCAAGTATCACGTGGAGGATGGAGCAAGCATGTTTTCTCCTGCTCCAGAGGGTAGGACTCGAACCCATGGCTCCAAGTTACAAGAAAGGAGATTCTGACTAAACATCAGGAAGAACTTTCTGACAGTGAGAGCTGTTAGTGCAATGGTCTCCCTTGGGCGACTGTAGACTCTCCTTCCTTGAAGGTTTTTAAGCAGACGTTGGATGGCCATCTGTCATGGATGCTTGAGCTGAGATTCCTGCATTGCAGGGGGTTGGACTGGATGACCCTGGGATCCCTTCCTACAATTCTGCGTTTCTATGAAAAAGTTCAGCGGGTGGACGATGCAGAATTGGATAAAATGACAGGAAGGATTCGAAACCTGTGGGATCAGAGATTCACAGAAGATTGGAAGAAATATACAAACTATTTGAAGAGCAACTGTAATCAACAAATTACGCTAGTATGACTACAAGAAGTTTCATAAGGAGAAATATATGAAACATTGCAAAATAGGAAAAGAAGAGAGATACAGTGGTAACTTGGGTTAAGTACTTAATTCGTTCCGGAGGTCCGTTCTTAACCTGAAACTGTTCTTAACCTGAAGCACCACTTTAGCTAATGGGGCCTCCCGCTGCCGCCGCGCCGCTGGAGCACGATTCCTGTTCTCATCCTGAAGCAAAGTTCTTAACCTGAAGCACTATTTCTGGGTTAGCGGAGTCTGTAACCTGAAGCATATGTAAGCCGTGGTACCACTGTATTAGTTATGAGATTTAAATGTAATAGTGAAAGTAAGAAATGGATACTAAGTGATTAGATTGGAAAATTTTCAGATGTGATTGATGGAAGTCAAAAAAATTGTATAAGATGTAAAATTATATTTAATTGTTGTTGAAAAGGATATGGTAAAACAAATAAAAATTTATATTTACAAAGGAAAAGCCCAGCGGGGCTGCCTCCCTCCCGCAGTTGCAGAGCAACGACTCCTTCCTGAGACCTTCCTTCTCCAAAGCTGCTCTTGCAACGTGCCAGCCGAGCTCCATTGAAGCCAAGCCGTCTTTGGAGAGCTGATGAGAGCATTTAGAGGCCCCTCGAAGCCCTGGAGAGGGAGGCGCAAGTGGGAGAGGAAGACTCAGCGGAAAGCGAGGCCTCTTGGCTCGCGAAACGCAGGCACCTGCCTTCGACGGAGGCAGGAAGCGGGGACCAGGTGGAGTGGCCAAGGAGGGTGACTCACGGGGCTCCAGAAGAATGTCGGAGCGCGCGCGCGTCTCGCTTTTGCGCTCTCTCCAGAGCACCGGGATCTTTTGTCGCCTGCGAAAGCGGGAGATCTTAATCGGGCGACTTGTCATTCAGAGAGCTGCTTTGCCGGAGAATAAAAGAAGCCAAGATATGGACGTTGAGGGAGCTGCGGAGAGAAAGGGATGTCGTTGCACAGAGAGGTGGGCGCCCTCAGATGGGCGCTCAGGTGGATGTGAACCGGAGGAGGAGATAAGGGCTTCCTTTCACCGGAGCGCTCTTCTTCGCAAGGAGAGATTTCCACACGCAGGGAACATGTGGGGAAGATGAGGCCTGGCGGAGGAAAACAGCGATTTCCCGAGCCGGCGGCCATCACCTTTCGTTCTGGCGTTGAAGTCCCCTACGTTGTTTGTGAGCTGAATGGAAGAGTTGTTTCGGGTGCCAGGGTGAGAGAATCGTGGCATCCCAGCATTGGAAGGGACCTCTGAGAGCCATCTAGTCCAACCCCCTGCAATGCAGGGAAAAATGCTGCAAAGGTCTACGAGAGCAGGAGTCCTAGAAGTGTGGAGCGACTTCTGGCTCCCCAAAGGGAGAACCGGCTGGCCATCCTGGGAGATCAGTTTTCCTGGCTGACAGGGGTCATCTTGGTCATCTTGTCAATATCCTTCTTAAACTGGGGTGCCCAAAAGGAGGAGAATTCTCAAGATCCCCTTTCTCCAAACGAGGCATCATTTTTCTAATCCATGTTTAAACTTTGGAACTCCCTGCCACAGCAGGCATTGATGGCCACCAACCTAGATGGCTTTTGAAGAGGATTAGACAAAGAGAGGTCTATCAAAGGCTACTAGCCAGGAGGCAGCAATAAATACTACTACTACTACTACTACTATATTATTTATACCCTGCCCATCTGGCTGAGCTTCCCCAGCCACTCTGGGCAGCTTCCAACAAAATATTAAAATACAGTAATGCATCAAACATTAAAAGCTTCTCTAAACTTCCCTCAGTGTCTGGGCAGAACGATGGGGGTGGAGACGCTCCTTCAGATATACTGGGCTGAGGCCGTTTAGGGCATTAAAGGTCAGCACCAACACTTTGAATTGTGCTTGGAAACGTACTGGGAGCCAGTGTAGGTCTTTCAAGACCGGTGTTATGTGGTCCCGGCGGCCGCTCCCAGTCACCAGTCTAGCTGCCACATTCTGGATTAGTTGTAGTTTCCGGGTCACCTTCAAAGGTAGCCCCACGTAGAGTGCGTTGCAGTAGTCCAAGCGGGAGATAACCAGAGCATGCACCGCTCTGGCGAGACAGTCTGTGGGCAGGGAGGGTCTCATCCTGCGTACCAGATGGAGGTGGGAGACAGCTGCCCTGGACACAGAATTGACCTGCACCTCCATGGATGGCTGCGAGTCCAAAATGCACCTGAATGCCAGCTGTTGGAAACTACAGGAGAGGAGAGGTCTCTTGTGTTCGAATCCTGCCGGTGGATTTTCTTTTGGGGCATCTGTTTGGCCACCGTGAGAACTGGTCTACATGGCCCATTGGCCTGATCCTGCAGACTCTTCTTATGTTTCAAACCATTTTAAAAATATCTCTGCCTTTGGCCCCCGGGCTGGAGTCCCTCTCCCTCCCTGCCGTAACAATTGAGTTAGTTTTGTGGCTTGAAAATATTTCCCTTGCTTCTTCCTGAGCAGAGAAGCTGTGACAGCCGTGATAACGTGCGATCAAATTATTACTTAAGAAGCCTGGAATGTGGGTGACGAAGAAACTGTGTTTCTTTTAACAGAAGTTCTAATTGTTAACAAATATTGAATTAACTTCTTAAGTGACAGCTCATACAATGCTGTTCCAAAATACTAAATTTAGATGAGGTGAACAAACAGCCAATGGTATGAGTTATTAAATCTCCTTAAGTCTCTTAGCTACCTGGTTCTCTGAGGCTGATGTCATCCCATGCCCCAGTTTGGGCTTTTTCTGCCAGAAAGTTCTTCCTGGTGTCCGAGTTGGAATCTCCTTTCATGTAACACGAAGCCATAGGTTCGAGTCCTACCTTCCAGAGCTGGAGAAAACAAGCATGCTCCCTCCTCTGTGTAACAGCCCTTGAGATATTTAAAGCTGGCTATCAAATCTCCTCTTTTCCAGGCGAAACATACCCAGCTCCTTCAACTGTTCCACCTAAGGTTTCCAATTCCCTGATCATGTTGGTTGCCCTCTGTTGCACTTTCAGGTTTGTCAATATCCTTCTCAAATTGTGGTTCCCTGAGCATCTGGTTGGCCCATAGCTGTCAATGTTTCCCTTTTTAAAAGGGAAATTCCCTTATTCCGAATAGGATTCCTCGCAAGAAAAGGGAAAAGTTGACAGCTATGGGTTGGCCTGCAGAAGGTCCCAGCTTCCATCTTGGGTAAGGCTGAGAAGACTCCCTTTCTGAAGCCTACAGAGATGCTGATGTTGATGATGGACCAGTGGTCTGACTCAGTATTCTTCCTAAGACTGGGGATACCCTGTCTATTGTAGTCTCTGTGTTGGTACCCTTGGGGCTAGACTCCTGCAATGCACTCTGTGTGGGGCTGCCCCTGAGCCTTATGGTGTTTATGGAAGACAATCTTACTTGGCTACATGAAATACACTCGGAGTCTAGTGTGAATTTCATGCTCTTTATTCAGCTCATAGTAGCAATGAATGAAGCTTTCCCCAAAACGTCTAGCTATATATACATTATTTACACAATGGGCCCCATGTGATTGGCTAATTCCGGGCTGCTCCTGTAGGCCAATCAGGTTGCGGATTCACTTCCTCCAGAAGCCTGATTGGCTGCTCCTGCAGGCCAATCAGGTCACTGATTCACTTCATCCAGGAGCCTGATTGGCTGCTCCTGCAGTCCAATCAGACTGCTGCATTCTGGATCCTATTGTTCTAGTATTCAGCTCAATACATAACACCACGAGTGATCGCCAAAGAAGAAGAAGAAGCCTTTGAGCTGGGTGCAGAAGCTCCATCTGGCGCAGGGATTCAGAGGCAAGGCTGCAGATTGGACCAGTTAGCAACACAGGACATCATTTTAAAAACATCTGCTTTAGCTGCCCATCTGTTGCGGAGTCAGGTTCTTTTGTAAATTTACAAAGCCCTGAAGTACTTCGGTCCACAGCAGCTGAGAGATTGCCTGAAGCATTTTCTCTCTCACCCAATCACTGAGATCATCTTTGCTTGTCCCCTGAGAGGCTGAGTCTCGCCTGATGTCAACACATAACCAAGCCTTGAGCTGT